GCTGATACCCAAAGCTCCGGTAGAGAGATTCATCCTCATTTCCTGTACTGCTGTCGAGAGTTTCGCTTGACAGGAAGTAAGGAAGAAAATCTGCAACAGGTACCCAGATAAAAATGTTACAAGTGTTCAAGCTTTCACTTTCTTCACCTAAAGCTGAACTCCGGGATGACCAAATATAAAGGCCGTTCACTGCTGCGCTCTCTCTCCTTGTGCAGGGTGACTGGTCTTGTCTCCGCCCCCTTCTGTAATAAAGATCGGTCACTGCTGCTCTCTCCATGTGCAGGGTGACCGGTCTTGTCTCCGCCCCCTTCTGTAATAAAGATCGGTCACTGCTGCTCTCTCCATGTGCAGGGTGACCGGTCTGGTCTCCGCCCCCTCCTGTAATAAAGACTGTTCACTGTTGCTCTCTCTCCTTGTGCAGGGTGACTGGTCTTGTCTCCGCCCCCTTCTGTAATAAAGATCGGTCACTGCTGCTCTCTCTCCTCGTGCAGGGTGACTGGTCTGGTCTCCGCCCCCTCCTGTAATAAAGACTGGCCACTGCTGCTCTCTTGCCTTGTGCAGGGTGACTGGTCTTGTCTCCGCCCCCTTCTGTAATAAAGATCGGTCACTGCTGCTCTCTCTCCTCGTGCCACGTGACTGGTCTTGTCTCCGCCCCCTTATGTAAAAAAGACCATTCACTGTTGCTCTCTCTCCTTTGCAGGGTGACTGGTCTTGTCTCCGCCCCCTCCTGTAATAAAGACCGTTCACTGTTGCTCTCTCTCCTTGTGCAGGGTGACTGGTCTTGTCTCCGCCCCCTTATGTAATAAAGACCATTCTCTGTGGCTCTCTCTCCTCGTGCCGCGTGACTGGTCTTGTCTCCGCCCCCTTATGTAAAAAAGACCATTCACTGTTGCTCTCTCTCCTTTGCAGGGTGACTGGTCTTGTCTCCGCCCCCTCCTGTAATAAAGACTGTTCACTGTTGCTTTCTCTCCTTGTGCAGGGTGACTGGTCTTGTCTCCGCCCCCTTATGTAATAAAGACCATTCACTGTTGCTCTCTCTCCATTGCAGGGTGGCTGGTCTTGTCTCCGCCCCCTCCTGTAATAAAGACCGTTCACTGTTGCTCCCTGCGCCTGACAGTGTCAGGAGAGATGAGGAAACCCTGGCATACCTCATCCTGCTGGGTGAACGCCCCCTTCTCTCTCTGCCGGTGTCCATCACCAAGATGGCCGCCGGCAGGCATCAATTAGATGGTCACGCATGCGCGATGACGTCACAGCGGGGTGTCACCCGGTCTCCGCTCCGGGTGACACCCGGCTGCGGGACGCCCCTGCTCCCCATATGTGATGGCTGCGTTAGTACACCTTTTCCTTTCCTTTATGATAGTCTAGTAATCCACCAGCAATGCACTTCCTGTCCCAGGGTGACAACGCTCACTGTACTGTATCTGTGTGGGAGAGGCGTTGTCACCCTGGACTGCTCTCCTAATTTGGACTACAGACACCCCTTCCTCCATTACACAGGCGAGCGGTGATTACAGTGTATGCAGGAAGTGACGGGGACGCAGGATTTCTGGACGTCACATCTAAAGACCGGGGAGCCGTAATAAGTGACATTTTCTGTCCGTCTTCTGTAAAAACCCTGAAATAGAAATCCCATCAGCCCCCATTTCTGGTCCTCAGGCAGACACTAACCAGCAGGAAGCCTCTCTGGGCTGTCTGCTCGTCATTAATCAGATCCGTACATAGTGTTCTACATATTTAAAGGGCCAGCCCACCCACATGGGATATATCAATGATATAAAGCAGGGGCAGCCAAACTCCGGCCCTCCAGCTGCGGTGGAACTACAAATCCCATGAGGCATTGCATGATTCTCACACAGACACTGACTCCCGGAGAGAGATGCATCATGGGAATTTGTAGTTTCACCCCACAGCTGGAGGGCCGGAGTTTGGCTCCCCCTGATACAAAGCATGGAGGGATGAGTCTGCTCTTTAAGTCGTCGGTACTCCAACAAATGAGAGCTCCCTCCCGGGCTCCGTCCTGTCTGCCGGGGACATTCGGGGGTCCCTCCCCCACCCTTGTGTGTTCCAGCTCCCTCTGTTACATTCCGAATGATGTGAAATAAATAATCCGTCATGGATGGAGCAACTGTGAGGTGCTGGCAGGAGGAGAGAGCGGAGAGACAAGCTCATCAGTCTGCTGCTGCTCCTTTACTGTCCAATCAGTGGGCGGCAGGGGCTTCAGTGCGATGGCTCACCAGCCGAGCCGTACTATCTAGCTGGGAGTATTCACATATATATTATGCATTGCAGTAGTTAAGGTTTAGTGCGAGTGCGAGGAACGGGGGGGACTTAGTGTTGGGGGTCAGTTCTAAGCTTTCGGTCCGCTGTAACATAGTTCTTCTCTCTGTTGATCCTGTCATCGGTTATCTTTTCACTTCCTGTAACAGGGTGACAACGCTGTTCGTTCTGCGGTAAAATTGCACAGCAGTGTTGTCAACCTAAGGACAGGCTAGTCTCAGATAGACGTGGAGTTTAAAAAAAAGTGTCAACACAACTTAATAATCCTTCTTGAATCCCCCCCACCCCCGGGAACAGGAACACGTCCATTGCTATTTATAGCCCCACCAGCACTGACTGATCCTTTACTATTGTGTGTGCACGGGGGTGATTGCTGCCAGGATCGGTCAGTGCTCGGGGGGCTGTGTGATCGATCTGCCGGCTGCTAGTAAGCGTTCACTCCACTGTGCAGCCGGCAGATCAATAACACGGCCCCGCCAGAGCCAACCGATCATTGATAGTGCGGGGAATGTTTACTACCATCCGTATTTACTATTGTCATTCATGTGTTGTGCTCTTAATCATGCCAATGCTGGATGTAAGGGGGCGGAGACAAGACCAGTCACCCTGCAGAAGGAGAGAGAGTAGCAGTCATTGATCTTTATTACAGGAGGGGGCAGAGACGAGACCGGTCACCCTGCACAGGGAGAGAGAGCAGCAGTGAGCGGTCTTTATTACAGGAGGGGGCGGAGACAAGACCAGTCACCCTGCATAAGGCGAGAGAGCAGCAGTGACCGGTCTTTATTACAGGAGAGGGAGGAGACAAGACCAGTCACCCTGCACAAGAAGAGAGAGCAGTCTTTATTACAGGAGGTGGCGGAGACAAAACCGGTCACTCTGCACAAGGAGAGAGAACAGCAGTGAGCGGTCTTTATTACAGGAGGGGGCGGAGACAAGACCAGTCACCCTGCACAAGGAGAGAGCAGCAGTGAGCGGTCTTTATTACAGGAGGGGGCGGAGACGAGACCAGTCACCCTGCAGAAGGAGAGAGAGTAGCAGTCATTGTTCTTTATGACAGGAGGGGGCAGAGACGAGACCGGTCACCCTGCACAGGGAGAGAGAGCAGCAGTGAGCGGTCTTTATTACAGGAGGGGGCGGAGACGAGACCAGTCACCCTGCAGAAGGAGAGAGAGTAGCAGTCATTGTTCTTTATGACAGGAGGGGGCAGAGACGAGACCGGTCACCCTGCACAGGGAGAGAGAGCAGCAGTGAGCGGTCTGTATTACAGGAGGGGGCGGAGACAAGACCAGTCACCCTGCATAAGGCGAGAGAGCAGCAGTGACCGGTCTTTATTACAGGAGAGGGCGGAGACAAGACCAGTCACCCTGCACAAGGAGAGAGCAGCAGTGAGCGGTGTATATTATGGGAAGCTCCCCACGCTGCACAGATCTGGAGGAAATATACAAAGCTCCCCCATATCGCAGGAATTTTGTATTTATATAATTTTTCAGTTCAGCTTTATATCTGTTCTTAGTTGCTGACACTCAGCGGCTCTCATCTGATTTTCTGACCATGAATAACGGGCAGACCGGTGACATTCCTTGCTGATCCGTGTAAGTCCGGGATCGGTCGGTAGATGGCAGCAGAGATCCGCACAATGATATGGGAGAATAATAGGAGAATGAATAACAATGTATCACTACAGTCCTCTCCTGCGCCCAGCTGACAGCCATTCTGTCACCTGATTGGCCGTCCAAGGTCTCAATCACGTTAAATCTCTTCAGGTGGGCGGGGCCTGTAACTCGGGGTTCTTGACATGGTACCACTCAGTTCCGTTACTAACAGTGGAGGCGTGGTTGGAAGTTGTCCCGTCTCTGATTGGTTCATGAGGCAAGGGGGTGGGATGTTTTTGCCCAGACCGCTAGTGTAAGGGCGGAGATCCGGAGAGATCGGCGTTGATTGGCTGCCTGTCTCTACCCTGTCGTTCAGCAATGCATAGGGCACTGGTTGGTTGAGGGTTCGAGGTCGCGCTGCAATTGGCTGTTGCTTGGCAGCGGGTGCAGTCCCGGCTCATTCCGCTCTCAATGGCGGCGGGGAGCGATGAGGAGGAAGGCGGCGGAGACTCCGAGTTGCAGCGGCCGGGAGGGGGGAGGAGGAATGCGGAGAGATCCCTGGAAGAGGCGGCCCGGACCGGGGAGCTGAGCCTGAGCGGACGGCGACTGAGGAGCATACCCGAGAGAGGGCGGAGCTACGATCTAACAGACCTGACCCGAGCTGGTGAGATACGGGGAGGCCCCTGACCCATAACAGTGTGTGACCCCCAACAATGACAACATACCAGTGTGTGACCCCAATAATGACCTCACACCACTGTGTGACCCTCAACACTGATAACATCCCAGTGTGTGACCCCAATAATGACCCCATACCAGTTTGTGACCCCCATACCAGTGTGTGACCCCCAACACTGACAACATACCAGTGTGTGACCCCAATAATGACCTCACACCAATGTGTGACCCCATACCAGTGTATGACCCCCATCACTGACAACATACCAGTGTGTGACCCCCAATACT